TGGTTTTCGTGGTTGTTTGTCTCGGTGGGCAGCGCTCGAACTCATACTGTGTAGGGCTCGATCTGCGGCCGTAGCCGAGGGAGCTCAATGACACGCCTCGATTCGCGTTCAACTGCATCTGTAGAGACCCGCCGTGGTGGGCGACAATAGCGACAATAGCGACAGCGGATGCCGCTGTGGCGTCTGTCGTCACCATCTTCGTCAACCCGCAGACGGGCACTTCGAGGTGGAATCAAACTTGTGCAAGTGAAGATTCGGGGCGGTATGTGGGTATGCACTTGGGTGGGTCAAAATGCATGGTGATTTTTGTCCGCAGATCGGATGTTGTTGTCGAGCTAGTCAGAATGACGGGATATCTCATAGAGAACATACTGGACAACTCAAACCGCCTCATACAACATCCGCAAAAGGTGCACGTATTCTATGCAGGCGTTTTGACAATGATATGATATGCAGAATATGGCAAGTTTCTGGTGAAAGAATAGGTTCCCAAAGCCATGTCGAAGAGGCAAAGGTTTTCTCGAGCGAAAGCTTAATCTGGCAAAACAAAGTGTGAACTAGGGTTAGGTGCTATCTGATCCGCCCGAATCCCGAATGCGCGCGGCACCGACTGCCAGTTGGGAGTCGAATTTCGACTCTCACCTCATAATCCAGTCCTCTATTTAGCTCTCGATTTTGTCTATACACGCTGCAAGTTGACATGTCGTACAAGACAGCCTGGTCGAAGAGTGGAGGGTCCTTACCCTCAGATCGGATACCCTCGCGTACCACCACTCCGAAGCCAAAATCGACGAAGGCGAGTCGAAGCAACACGCCTGGCGCTGCATCTCCTCCAAAGAGCAAAGAGGTGCTTAGGCTTGAGATTCTCAGGGACGGCCTACAAGCGGTGGTGTCGCGTGGGGGTGTACTAGGGACGGACCCAAAGGGCGGCTGCTTCTGTCAAGGTGCGCAAAGTATCCCACTCCTTCCAGCTCCTACCCTCAAAAGGCATCTCCATCAGCTCGCTCGCATGTTATCTCAACATATAACTCCGCATGCATGCAATGCGGCCTCCCGTTGTGCATGCTCAACCTCCCGAACTACGCATGCCCCTCCTGCGTCTCGCCGCTGCACAGCGAGCCCGCGTTGCACGCGCTCCTTGCGCAGGTGCTCGACGAACTCGATGTGGTGCTGCGCAAGGAGGAGGATGCGCGCCGGCAGGCCGAGGACGAGCGCAAGCGCATCCAGGGCTCCTTCCCCACACTCGCCGCGGCCACCACCGCGTCGAGCGACAGTCTCGTCAATCTCCCGGGTGGCCTGGCGCCGCCGCCACAGCAACAACAAGCACACAAGGTGCTCTCGCTGAATGCGAAGACGAAGCGTGTCACGGTCGCGTCGTACACGAAGAAGCCGCGGGCGACCCCGCCGCCAAGCGGTCCCGGCTCGCGTGCAGAGTCGCCGACGGAGTGGGACGAGGGCTTGCCCGCGCGGATACACGGTCCACCGCGGGAGATACCTTTGCCGCAAGCGCCTGCGCGTACGCTGGAGGCTCGACCGTGGTTCAATGCGAGAGAGGACGTTACATACGTCGATCCTGCGAGGCTGTGAGTGCTTGGAAGCAAATGGTCTAATATGCTCCGCAGTGCGCTTGTTTTTACCATGACTGCTCCATCGTCCCTCAATATTGGTGTTTAGGCTCTTTGACACCGGTCTCCCGCGAAGTTCATGCCGCCGGCAAGGGGAACCGCTCATACATGCGGAATCACAGAGACGGCTTGCTCAAACGAGGTCTACCCAGCAAATTTTTGTTGAGACAGCAGGTCTGGCTCAAGCCTGACGATGCCACCACGTATGCATGCATACCCGAGATTTCCATGCACTCGAGTCCTCATCCAGGATGTTGCCACCCCATCGCATGCAAAACGACAAGGGCTATGTATCCATGTCGCATATCCTTTGCCTACGTCTCTTCGCCAGTCCGTGACGGTTTTTACCTCCGTGCTTTGCCCCGTTGCGCGTCCCGCTCATAGCTGGGAGCGCTGCAGACTGAGACACCCGCTTTGGAGGCACAGCTTCTGGTGGCGACTCATTACCCTTGGTTTCTCCCGGCACTCACAGTCATTAATCTGTTTTGCGGGGATTGTGGGCCAAAAGAAGCGATGTCGCCCACCATGTGGTATATACGTGCCGGCCATGGAAGCCTATATCATATTCGTTTGCGCTCGTTGCGCGGCGACCAAGCTTGAGGTCTTTCGCACTGGATGGACTCTATCTTGTACGGCTAAACACACGCGCGCAAGAGGTTCAGAACTCCTGGTTGTTGGCCTCGCGCTGTAGAGCCAGGTGGTTCGCGTGACGTCACGCATCCAACTTCGTGCAACGCGTTATAGGCGCGCCGACGCGTTGCGCCTGCTCGGCGGCCTACTAGGGGCCAAGCACTCAGCTTCTTGCGATCGCGAAGGACTCCCGCAACTAGCCTACTGACTAGCCATTGCGCTGAAGGAAACGCGTCAGCATTGACCTGCTTCGTGCCTGGCGTTGTGCCTTCATCCATTTCCTCTTTTTCCCGCTCTATGATATACCTGATGATGGTCTCAAGGCCATAGCCGCGCGTTTTTAAATGCTATAATTGAATCCACCCGACCAAGTACCTGAAATGCGCTGCATTTCGGAACTCCTCGCGTATGTTGCCGTCAGTCGGGAGTCATGCTTGTGATCGACCCTGGATTGTCTGTGTCACTTCCAGCGAACGTGACCCTGTTCTGGGTTTGGTCTCGGCATCCGCCCAGAGTCGCTCAATCTACGCTGGTATCTGCAAGCACCAGAAGGTTATTGCGGCGTCGCTACGACAGGCTGGCATAGCGAACAAAACGCAGAGCGAACGACTGACGCTGCGCCAGTCAATCGCGAGGCAACGCCAGGAGAGACCGACCGGATGCCTGCTGCATCGACCAGTGAGTACTCTTACGG